GGCACGGACCGCGCTGCGGAGGGGACGCAGTCCGACAGCCCGCAGCCGCTCCCTGCCGCTGCCTGCCTCCGGCACAGCTCCTGTGTCCTCTTGCCGGCTGTTTTGAGCCATGAAGTGCGAGCCGAACGGTACAACGTCCTCTTGACGGTGCCGATGTGGTCCTTGATGCGTCCTGCTCAGATCAGGAGCACCGGAGATGCGATCTGCCTGCGGGGGGTTTGCAAGCGGCCCTGGCTTCAGCTTGAAACCACGTCGGAGGCGGTCAGAAGAGGCTGGAGCTGGAGCAGAAAGCAGTGCCTTCCTCCTTGGGGTGCCTGCTCCCAGGGGACGAGGGACCCTGGCCCCATGCAGAGCTTTTTAGCCTGGGCCTTCGGTCTGCCCTTCCTCGGGCGCGGTGGAGGGACCAGACGCGGTGCGGCGAGGAGGCTTTGGGAGCTCTGGCGTGGGCAGGCTTGTTGGAAATAGCATTCGGTTGACGGTAGCAGGCGCGTGCTGCTCACAAGCAGCAGCAAACGTCACTAACCACTGCTCTAAATCTGCTTCCAGTCGTCCTGAGCGGGGGGAGTGTTGGCTGGAGTCTGAAAAGAGGACGCAGATGTTTCTTGTTCTTGTCCCTGTTCACTGGAGGGGCTCGAGGTGACTCTCAGCAGCCCTGAAGTGCCTACAGCAGGCTGCGGGCAGCCCTTCTTTTGGGAAGAAACGCATCCTTTCCTCGACGTGCTGCTCCCGTGGGGCCTCCCCAGTCCCTCCCGCCAGGCTCGGGGTCTGCTACTGTCCCTCCGCAGCGTGCCCACGGGGACAGGGGTGACAGTGGCACAGCAGACTGGCTGAGCCCACTGTCCCTCCGCGGTGTGCCCATGGGGACAGGGGGTGACAGTGGCACGGCCAGCAGGCTGGGTGACTCCGGGCGAGCATGGCAGGGCACGGGTGACCCTCCTTGGGGCACACTGGCCGGTCGCTGTCCCTGCCCACATTGGGGTCCCTGTTCGGCAGTGATGGCAGCTGAGGTGTCCCCTCCATGGCTAGTGCTTGCCCCACCGTCCCCTAAAAAGACCAGGGCTCTCTGGGGGACACCCGCTCTCTAATT